CTTTAAATGTTTATCATATTCCGCTTTTTACACATATATTTTTTTAAATTTGCAATGTTTTGTCTATGCAGCCAATATGTAGCCTTTGTTTTCTGGCCTGAAATAGTTTTGAGTGATACATGTGGCTATAATAGAAGAGAAGAGAGGAAGTGGCTGCAATCTGGGTGGAACGGGTAGCAGCAGTGGATAGCAATGTAGGCCACAATCGGGTTGTAGGGGCCTGAAGTCTAAGGATCATGATTGTTGTTGTTGTGGGCATTCAAGTTGTTTCTCACTTATGGCAACCCTAAGGTGAATCTATCATGGGTTTTTCTTAGCAATATTCTTCAGAGGGTGTTTGCCATTGCCATCCTCTGAGGTTCAGAGAGTGTGAGCCTCAAGGTCACATAGTGGGATTACATGGCTGAGCTGGGATTCAAATCTGGTTTTCAGAGGCACATTCCTACACTCAAACCACTACATCATGCTGACTCCCAAAAATCATGATAGCCATGTTTAAACATTTGAAAGGATGTCATATGGAAGAAGAAGCAAGCTTATTTTCTGCTATTCAGAGACTAGGGTCCAAAACACACTGCAGAAATAACCCAGTTTGAGACTTCTTTAAATGCCATGGCTCAGTGCTAGGGAATCATGGGAATTGTAGCTTATTGTGGCACTAGAGCTCTCTGACAGAGAAGGCTAATTGTCTCACAAAACTCCAGTTCCCAGAATTCCCTAGCATTGAGCCAGAGCAATTAAAGCAGTCTCAAACTGGATGGTTTCTGCAGTGTGTTTTGGACCTAGGACACAGAGCAATGGATTCAAACTAAAGGAAAAGAAATTCAACCTAAACATTAGGAAGAACTCCTGACAGTAAGAGCTGTTCAATAGTGGAATACATTGTCTTGGCATGTAGTACAGCCTAGGTCTTTAAGCAGAGAATGAATGGCTATCTGTTGGGAATGCTTTGATAGTGTCATCCTGCATGACAGGGGGTTGTACGGAATGGCTGTTGTGGTCTTTTCCATGATTCTATGTGTTGCTCATTCCTGAGGCAAAAGAAGACAACTACTACCACTACTACTATGTCACTGTTTCCTCCTCCTTGGTCTCCTCACATTCTAGATAATATTAAACAATGAAACTCTTAAATTCATAACATTGGTGAGTCTGGCACTATCAAATCAATTTTATTATATGACAGCCAAATAAAGGCTATAGCCAAAAGAAAATTGAATAAGCAATCAAATTTTACAATAAAAGATAAGGTCACAAGCTTTACATATCGTTAAAAGGTAGCTCAAAATAGCAAATATGCAATATACAACCCATATTTGTGAATATATTTATTGAAACCGTATTTCTTATAAGAAATTATTCTCATGGGCAGTTCTGAACTGGGCTACTTTCATGCAAAACTAGACAAATTAACCAGGATTAATTTAGGGGCTAT